CCCCCCCCCCCCCCCCCCCAACTCCTACTCCCTATACTAGCTAGCTGGACAAAGGAATTTCCCTGATTTTTCCCATCTATTTATCTCTCAAAGATAATATTTTTTTTTTATCCAAAATCCAGAATAAAATATTTAATATAACTGGAATGAAGTGGGACTACTATTTTAATTAGTGATGCTCTACTTGTTACATCCTTTAATTCCAAAATATCAAGTAGTTGCAGTTGGGAAAGAAAGGGCAATTGAATATGAATCATTAGAGTCAATGATTATTAAATAATAATTCTACATCATCTTTTTTGTGTGTGATTCTAAATCATCTTATAATTCTTTCTTAATAATATTCCTAATTCTTAAATGAATAAAATAAAGTATTGGAGATTTGTTATGTTTTTTAAATGTTGAATATATTTATTATAAGAAAATGGTTAAGATTATAATTTAAACGTTGGTCAACAGATCCAATTTCCATATATCTTCTCCCCCTGACCTCCCTTTCTTTCATTGCTATTTGCTCCCACCAAATTTGAATCGTGAATTTGTGAAACCTGGGCTCTACAGGCACATAAGCTTTACATACAATTGAGAAATAAAATAAATTAATTTTAATCATACAATTAATTATAAATGGTCAAAATTTGACATTCTCATCTTATCACATTAAATAGAAAAACGCCGGGTGTTTACAAATCAGAACAACTTGGGATGATCTCAATTGAAAAAGCCACAAACAATTTTCAAAGCCGAGAAGTGAAAGAACATATAAATGTGTATTTGATATTTCACTCGTAACGTTAATGAAAAAACATCAAAGTTAATATAAGGCAGTCTCTTATGTTGGGATTAAGTTTTAGTGGCATAATGTATACAAAAATGATTCATGGACCCATATGTTAATCTATATCTAGGAAAAAACAAAAGAACAAGATATTCAACTGAAAAAATGCAAATGTAAAAAGGATAAAGATAGAGTCTAATTTTAGTACACAATTACCGTAATTAAAAAAAAAATACACACTCAACTAACAAAACATCACGACACATGAATTGAGTGTATATGTTATGAAATATATATTTTTCTAGTACATGTAATTACTAAGTTTGTTACTTTAGTGGTTTTAAGGTTTGTTTTTGAGACATTTGGTATTGTTAACATTAAAATAATAATTCATCAACAGAAGTCATATTTTATAAGAATAAATTAATTATTAATTATTAACTTTAGAACATTATGTAAATAATATTTATGGATAAAAATAAAATATAAAAATGCAATGAAACAAGAATGAAAATAAGTGTGCTTAGATTAACTTTCAATTATACTAAAATCAAATAGAAAATTACGGTGAGGGCTAAAGTTATTTGTTAAACTTTTTCAATTTTTTACAATGAGTTTAGAGATTAAAATTGATTTTACAAACTATCTAAACACACTATAAATATGAATTGGAAATCAGCATACACAACACACAACATACAACAAGGCAAGAGGGACATCATTACTCTCTCCACTGAGGTACAAGTGTTGTGTTTATGAACCCCACCAAGTCTGGTCCTGGAGCATGCCAAGTAAAGATCAACACTATGAGTTAACCCTCATTATGAATCAAAAATTATGTATAACCGGGTCACTTATTACATATATGATATATCACTTTATTTTCTTCTCTTTTTTCACCCACCTCAAATAGAATATTTTAGAATGGACAAATATCATAACTCTAAGTAATATGAAACCTAAAATTTTAAGTAGTATACTGTTAGGTACAGCTGCGTACAGCTGCCACCACCTT